AGGGAAAGAACAATGAGAGGTAGAATTTTTGGTGGACACATGAGCAACATACTCAGTTTTAAATCAAGCTTTAATACTCCTGGGGAACGACTATATTATAGTAAAAGGGGCGACTGGCCAAACTGAAAAGGCATATTTTTGTAAGCCACTGAGATATAAATTAGGGAAACAATGAGGTATCCACAAATTCCTATACATGCCTAACTCCCCAAAGGCACTATTGGGAAGGGATTTATTGGAACAATTGGATGCAAAGATTACATTCGAGAAAGGGGAAATTACTCTGGAGGTGAAAGATCAACAATATATACAGATACTAAGTTTAGTTTTAACCAGTCTCCGCGAAGGAGGAAAGGTTGGTGAAGAGGTCTTAGACCAGGTATATCCTGGGGTATGGGCTACCAATACACCCAGAAGAGCAAAGAATGCTCCGCCTGTTTAAGTTAGACTCAAGGAAGGTTGGTAACCAGTAAGAATTAAGCAATATCCCCTAAAGAAAGAAGACAGAGAAGGAATCCAGCCAGTGATCAAAAAGTTTTTACAATTAGGATTATTGAAAGAATGTGAGTCTGATTTTAACACCCCTGTATTACCTGTTCACAAACCAGGCGGGTCGTACAGAGTGGTCCAGGACTTACGACCTGTAAATAAAATAACTGAGGACCTTTACCCAGTAGTGGCAAACCCATATACCCTGTTGACTGTATTAACACCTGAACTAACTTGGTTTACTGTATTAGATTTGAAGGATGCCTTCTTTTGCCTTCCTCTCCATGAAGCCAGCCAGAAATTGTTTGCATTTGAATGGGAAAACCCCAGAAGTGGTATTAAGACCCAGCTCACTTGGACGGTGTTGCCACAAGGATTCAGGAAGAGTTCTACCATCTTTGGCAACCAGCTCGCAAAGGACTTGGAATGCTGGGAGATCCCGCCTGGAGAAGGGAGATTGTTACAGTATGTAGACCATATCTTGATCGCTACCAAAACAGAAGACGAATGTGTGACCTGGACGGTGAGTCTGTTGAATTTTTTGGGGCTTCAAGGGTACTGAGTATCCAAGAAGGTGGCCCAAATAATACAACGTAGCGTGGTCTATCTGCGCTACGAAATCAGTGCTGGACAACAAACTCTGGGACAGGCACGCAAAGAGGCCATATGCCAAACCCAGAGACCACAGACGGTAAAAGAGTTATGGACTTTCTTAGGAATGACCGGGTGGTGCCGATTATGGATTTATAACTATGGACTACTAGTTAAACCATTATACGCATTGATAGACACAGGACAGAAGCCCCTTGAATAGAACAAGGAGACCACACAGGCCTTTGAGCTACTGAAAAAAGCTCTGATGTCGGCTCCGGCCTTAGGACTCCCAGATGTAAGTAAACTGTTTTTCTTCTTTTCCCACGAGAAACAGGGGGTTGCCCTGGGAATACTAGCACAAGATCGGGGCCCATATCGATGAGCAATTGCCTACTTTTCCAAACAGTTGGATACAACTGCAAAGGGTTGGCGTGGATGCTTACGAGCAGTTGCAGCTGTAATATTAAACATACAAGAAGCCAGAAAATTCACTTTGGGTCAGAAAATGACTGTTTTAGTGTCTCATACAATATCCACAGTGCTGGAAGCAAAGGGTGGACACTGGCTTTCTCCACAAAGATTTCTGAGATATCAGGCCATACTGGTAGAGCAGGATTATGTAGAAATTATAGTTACTAACATTGTTAACCCAGCCTCTTTCCTCAGTGGGAATACAGGAGAACCAGTACATCATGACTGCTTGGAGATGATTGAAACAACATATGCAAGCCACCCAGATTTGAAGGACAGCCCTACAGAAGACGGGGAAAACTGGTTTACAGATGGGAACAGTTACATCTTGAGTGGTAAGAGACATGCGGGGTACGCCATTACCACCAGTCGAGAAGTAAGTGTCGGGACCTCTGCCCACAAACACCTCTGCATAGAAGGCAGAAATAATTGCTTTAACCTGTGCCCTGGAATTAGCCCAAGGCAAAGTAGTGAATATATATACAGACTCGGAATATGCCTTTGGAGTTGTGCATGCACATGGAGCAATCTGGAAAGAAAGAGGATTGCTGAGTTCTCAAGGGAAGAACATCAAGCATGCAGAAAAAATTCTGAGACTATTGGAGGCAGACCAGCATCCTGAGAAAGTAGCAATTATGCATATTAAGGCACACCAGAGAGTGAGCTCAGAATTGGAGAAAGGAAATGAGCTGACAGACAGAGAGGCAAAACAGGTAGCCAAAACGGAAGTAAAGACAGAGGGGGGTTTAGTCCCAAACGGGCAAATTTCTCTAGAAGGTAAACCAGAATATACTAAAGATGACCAGAAGCTTATTAGAGATTTAGAAGGATCATAAAATGAAGAAGGATGGGCCCACACTCCGCAGTGAAAGTTAATCATTCCCTTCTGCCTATTACGGCATTTGATAAGGGAAGAACATAGGAAAAGGCATTGGGGAACGGAGGCTTTATACAAACATTTAAATAGAGAAATTGTGGCCAGAAACTTATACACCACAATAAAACAGGTGACTCAGCAGTGTGATCTCTGCCTCCAGACTAATCCCAAGAATAACCCTAAACCAGAAATGGGCCAAATTGGGAAAGGAAATGGATCTGGACAACAGTGGCAGATTGACTTCACAGAACTCCCAAGAAAAGGGGGGTACCAGTATTTATTAGTATTGGCTGATACCTTTCCAGGCTAGCCAGAAGCACTCCCGACCAGGACAGCCAGGGCTCTGGAAGTAACTAAGATACTGGTACAAGAAATATTACCACACTTCGGGGTTCCAGTTGTCATATCCTCTGATAGGGGACCACATTTTATCTCAAAAGTGATACAACAAATTAGCCACTATTTGGGTGTAGATTGGCAGCTTCATACCCCATATCACCCTCAGTCAAGTGGCCATGTAGAGAAAATGAACCACTTAATTAAACAGCAAATTGTGAAACTGGGACAAGAAGCAAACCTGACATGGCCTCAGTCTCTTCCCTTAGTCCTTTTATGCATACGAACCAGATCAAGGGTGAGGGAAGGGCTGAGCCCCTTTGAAATTTTGTATGGACGACCCTATGGAATACAAAAGAGAATGCTGGGGATGAGATTATGACTTCCTACATAGTAGCATTAAGCAGACAGCTTAATAAAATCAGAAAATATGTAATTGGAACTTGCGGAAGAGGTTTGGATGGACCAGTTCATAATATACAACCTGGAGATTATGTATACATTAAGACTCTTGCAGAAAACTCTGGAGCCGCAGTGGGAGGGGCCGTTCCAGGTACTCCTTACCTCCTTCACCGCAATCAAGATCAAAGAACAAAACGCTTGGATACATTACACCAGAGTGAAGAAGGCGCCACAAAAAATACGGACTTCAGAAGCCAAGGGACCCCTTAAACTCAAGCTACATAGACAAAATACTAAGGTAGCTATGTAATTTCCGTAAATCTATAAACGGTAGGACAACTCTGTAACACTATAAATGGAACGGATGGCTAAAAGGGCTTTAGCTTGTGTGATTTTGATCGGCTTATATTGGACTGATAAAATTATAGCATGGAACCAGAATGTGTATCTAATTTTGCTTAAGGAAACTGCCAAACAACATGACCTATCTGACTGTTGGGTTTGCACCCAAATGCCTAAAAGTGCACAAGGAGGATTTCCCTTAGGCGCAACCCCTCTAACTACAGAAAAGCATAATACTGAGAGTCAATCTATGAACCTGGGTCATTACGTGAGCATTCCAGATAGAGACTTGACTTCTACATTTCAGTTTGACCTTGACCTTACCACGTTGTTTAACAAAACTAAGATTAACTGTGTGCAACGATGTTCTCTGAAGAGTATTGATAGTAATATGGGAGGTAATTCAACAGACAAAGGTTGTAGAGATACTATATTCATAGGGAAATTCCCCAGTTGCTCATCTTACTGGCAATATGGAGCAGCAAATATGTGGGATAAAAAGCAAACTAAAAACAAGGCCACAAACAACACGGAAAGGATGGCCAGTCCCGCCAGGCAAGGGACTATATTGGTTGTGCGGAAATACAGCACGCAAGGTCTTGCCATTGGGATGGAAAGGCGAATGTGCCATAGGCCCAGTATACCCATATGTCACGGTGATTAAGCAATTAGATAAAGGATGGATTCAGACATCCTTAAAACGTGTGAAGCGCACAACTCCGCTCACTGAGAGACCCACTGTGTTTCACAGTTTTGCAAGATGGTTTATACCTTGGTTAGGGGTAAGTGAACTAGAAAAAGCTATTGTAAACCTTTCCGCTAAGCTAGAAACATCGTTTAAGGCTACCGCAGATGCTATAGCAGCACAACGGTTAGAAATACAAAGCCTCTCAAAGATTGCTTTGCAAAACAGGATGGCATTAGACATGCTATATGTTAAAGAAGGGGGTGTTTGTAAAGTGATCAATGATTCATGTTGTAGTTATGTAGACCAGCAACAACGTATTTCCACTGACTTATCCGAGATCTGGAAACAGCTTAGTGCTTTCCACAAAATAACACTAGACAGTACTTCATGGGGATTTGAAGAATTATGGGAGAAATTAACCTCTTGGTTACCGAACTTAACATGGCTAAAACAATTGTTTGTCATGGTAATAGTGATAGTCTTTTTGACTATAATTCTTTGCCTAACAATCCAATATTCTTTGTGCTGCTTTCAAAGTACAGGAGGTTCTTATAGTGAATGGAAGAAGAATCAACTTGGCCAAAAACGTGAATCTGATAAGTACTTTGAGGAGATGTTATAATGAGATTGAACCTAGTAAACAAATTTACTACTTTTATAGAAAAGGGGGGACTGAAATAGGGAATTGTAGGTTAGGTAATCATTAAGTTGTAACATGTTTTATAAAGAAGCTTTGTGACTCGTTACGAACGGCACTTCCTGAAATCAGCAAGAATTAGATAAAATTAGTAGTTTCTCACAAGAACTAGTTCCTAACTGGCTGAAGCGGACCTTGTAGTTTGGAGAGAACCCAAGAGAACTTTGAGCATGCACAAAACCAAGGGGTGAAGAGTGCATGGCGAGGAAGACCTATGGCCTTCACCCCCCACAACCCCAGAAGACCACCACCAGAAGACACTGCACAAGCGCAAGGAGGAGGAGCCCTAATTTTAATGCGAAGCGGGGACAGGTCATACATACGTATAGGTGTATTAGGAAATCTCATGTATATGCAACAGTTACTGTATAAATTTAGAGCAAATTGTCACGACAGGTGCACACGGTTTTGGTGGGACTACCCCCTGTGCTGCCCAGCACTGAATAAACATACCTACTTTACAGTCTTACAGATTGTGGAGTCTGCTTTCCGCATGTCAATAGGACAAGAGGAAATGGCCTGAAGCTGTGCCAGGGGAGGTTTAGGCTGGATATTAGGAAAAGCTTTTTCAACAAGAGGGCAGTCAGGCATTAGAACAGGCTGCCCAGGGCAGTGGTGGAGTCACCGTCCCTGGAAGTGTTCACAAACTGTGTAGATGAGGCCCTCAGTGACATGGTTTAGTGGTAGCCTTGGCAGTGCTCAGGTAAAGGCTGGACTTGATGATCTTAAAGGTCTTTTCCAACCTAGCTGACTCCTGTGACTTTTCATGTGAATTTCGCTCCAGAGCTAGATTATTATTGTTGTTATTACTACTATTGTTCTTGAAATTTTTTAATTTACTATTTATTTTCATTTTCACTAGAATCATTTAATCCTGCGTACAAGGCTCTACAACTCTTGAGCTTCTCACATGTTTTAGGCACAGCTGGTTGGCAGGCAGCCCAGCACAGAGAAGAGGGAATTGTGGCACCATGTGAATTTCCTCATCCTGTACATGTTACATCAGGAAAGCAAAAGGCAAAGGTCAGACACCTGAATTTGCACTTACATTTGTATTTCATCACCTCCACGTAGAGAAACAAATGTGTGTACCTAAAATAACCTAACAAAAAGCAAAGCTTGAATTGCTTATTCATGCTTCCTCAGCAAATTTTTCACAAAGTACTCACTACTTAAAATATACAAGTTTGGTTATAATCTACATACACTTCTACATATTCATGCATCCTGGCCTTTCTTAAAAGGCAACTTCCTCTGTTCCAGATCTTAGCTTTGCTACATTACCCTTGAGTAATGAATACTTCATATTTCTTCTTATAATGCACAACAATTTTCTGCTAAATGCAGTGCAGGCCAGACAAACGAAACATTTTGTGTAGATAATTAGTTACTAAAAAGTTGCTAATCTGACAAATTATCTGAAGCAAATTGTGTATGACATATATCTAACCAACAAACCAAAACATAAAAGGTCTTTCTTTTATGAATTTATCCTAGATAATGATATTTATTATCTGCATCTGATGATTTTGGGCAGCATAATAGTTTGGTAATCAACCCTTTTTTGAGAACATTACAGGTATTTAATAGGTGGAAACTCTGGGGTTTTAATTTTGGCACAGCTGTCAAGCATAACCCTGAGAAGATCTAAGCTCTTGTATTGCATCTCAGAATCACCAATAAACTCAGTTCTCTGCTATATGTTCATTTACACATTCAGCTGACAAATTGCTCCTATGTGGGCCTAAATCTAGTGCAATAATTCTTACAGGAGTTTATGCTGCTCCCTCTGGTCCCTTCTTCCAACTTTCTGCTGTTCATCAGCAAATATAGATATATTTGTTCAAAACAGGTATATTTGAATAGGTATATACAGGCATATACCAATACAGGTATTATTGAAAAGGTATAGGTGTATTTGTTCAAAATAACTTTGTACAAACCCAAGACAGTAAGCGTTCAGGTAATGGTGTAGTGTTTTATTTCCCTTAGCACTAAGCTAGAGGCCCTGATCCGTGTACACTTCACACACAGCTCAGGACTGCCAACATTTTATACACATGGCCATCTACCACAATTTAACAGTAGTCATTTTCCATAAATACATTAGGCAACAAGATTGATGTTTGCCCCGTGTTTTATTTTCCACTCCCCCAACAGGGAAAGAAACATAAGGACCATTTTGTTGTATGTGTTGGTTAGGGCTGGGGTTTTTTTTTTTCCAAAAAGGCACTTATATTTCTACTGTGCTCTGGGGAGACCCCCCTGCAGTCCTGCCTCCAGCTCTGGGGCAACAACACAAGAGGGACATGGAGCTGTTGGAGAGAGTCTGGAGGAAGCCATGGAGATGCTGTGAGGGCTGGAGCAGCTCTGCTCTGGAGACAGGCTGAGAGAGCTGGGCTGGTTCAGCCTGGGGAAGAGAAGGCTCCTTAAGGAGAGACCTTAGAGCAGCTCCAGTGCCTAAAGGGGTTGACAAGAAACCTCAGGGGGCTTT